CTCTAGATTTTTGCATCGTCAGGAAATAATATTTCCTTCTCCGTTATTGCTAAATAAGAAAGCTGAACATATTGAACTGTTTGCTCTATTCAATGCAACAAACATAAATATTTTAATTATTAGCACAGTGGGTAGATTACAGCTAAGTTGCAAAAAATAATGTCAACAAATTCCAGACTTAAACATTGAATAGCTTTGAATAAATTTCTTTATATGTCAGTAATAAAATGTACATGAGATTTGACTCAAAATATATAATTGTTACTGAAACCATAGTTTCAACATCCGAGCTCTTACCATTTCGTCATAAATTTACTTTAAAGTTGATGATTTGGACAAAAAACTAACAAAATACCATTTTTCTTATTCACACAAGTACCCTATGTAAATGCTTTCAAAACTATCTCTTTAGAAATAGAACGTTTTGAAGCCTTCAGAAGAGTTAATTTGTTAATCTGTAACATAATGCCTAAAATGGGCAGAGATGTTGACGAAAAAAAATCAATAAAATTCTTACACTTTCAAGAGTAAAATTGATGCTTTTTTTCAAAAAGACTCAAAATAGTATATTTTCGATCCATTATTACAGTAACGTTTTTTTACGAAAATATTTTAAACATGTTTCATTGGAAAGAGCATATTGGAAGTCCCTAGAAAAATGGATTTATTTGCTAACGCTGGCATACAATTCCTCAAGCTTGAGATGCCCTAATATAATTCCGTTCAAGGACATCATAGAGTTGCATTCCATGGTTTATTCCAAAGATATTCCTTCCTTCCGTTAATGTACACTTTGATATGTCACAATACACATTTCCACACTTTTTCATTAATATAATTATATGAGTACTGTACGTACATACCTATATAATCGTCATAATTTTTCAAAAGCATATCCTTTGCATTTCCCCAACGATGATATTCTTTTATTTCTGAAATTAAAAATATATTTTAAATCTGTATTTATCCGAAAAATCATTTGGTCTTCAAGAACTCACAATGTGTTCTACACGTACTTTCTTTAAAAGTCCAAGGCGCCGATGGATCGAATGGTGTTCGATACACCACTAGTAAGTCCAGCATTTCTGAAGAAACAAAAATTATACCTAGATTTTAAAACATTTTTGCAAATTTTGCTGATGACGTCATGACAAAATACATAAAAAGATGGCAATACATTTATAAAAGTACATTTTCCTCACATTAAAATAATCATTACCTTTGTTTCCTGATATTTGACAACTTCCTGTAAGTAACAACATCATCCACCAAATGAAGTAGTCCATTGCCACAAGCTTTCCTGCAACTATTGACAGTAACATATTAATTGGTTGAAAGGAAGAAAAGTTAAATACTTAGATAATACCTGTTATAAATGTGTTTCTGCCTTTGATCACTTTCATTTTTTTCAAATTTATGTCTTTATACACACACACACACACAC